ATCCCCCGAATTTGGTGCGGATTCGCCGCGCCGTTACGGAGATATGGGCGTTCAAAGTTTCAATGGTTTTCCATAGACTTATAGGATAAGCTTTAAAGCGTTTCATCCAGGTCGCCAGTAGCAAACAATGGAGCACGCTCTGCTGGACACACTAAGTAATTACACCATTTCAAGCAGTTTATCTGCGCTATATGTTCTGGAAAAAAAATTCCATATCGATACTGATATATCGGCAACAGGCTCATATCGGCCGATAATATCGGCAAAACGATATATCGGTCGGGCTCTAATATTTACACTGTCTGAATCGTTCCCTACCCCCTATATAGTGCACTATGTGCCATTCACCATATAGAAAATATTAATTCTGTGAACAAGAGACTGATTTCAGTCGCAGGTCTATTTATAGTGTAGGGGGTGGAACGCTTCAGATTCTAGGGAACATTTGATTGGATAGAAAATCTGATGTCATCAAAATCGTACATCCATATCGGCAGAAGTGAGATACTGTAAGTTTTGAATGCTTATATCTTCTAAATGCAAATTTAACCTTGAGGCTAACATATACTAAAAGTAAAAAATCTTAAATTTTGATTTCATGGGGACTTTAAATGGCAAGACACTTTGACGATTTAAAAGCAGAGATGTAAAATTTGTATGTCTGTTAAAGCGCTTCTATAAATTCTTCAGTAAAAAAATATGTGAAGATTTGTAAATCATTATGCATGCAATCAAATACCCGGTTTATCGGCATTACATGGTTATGACAGAAATACTGGATTTAACTTTGCAAAGACCAGGTTAATAAGTTATTTTTTGATGCTAGTCTCATGTTTAACTTATTAAAGTGTATATATTGTGCTTATTTTAACATATATATCCATACATTTTTCACAAACATGCATCTATTAAAATCTCATAATTTTGCATTGAAAAAAATCTGTGAATGTTGTTATATTTAATTGATTGTTAAATTTGTATTTGCAAATTGTCACATATCTGTGCAAAAGGCTATGTAGAGTAAGACAATAACATTGTGAAGATATACCTTGCACTCTTCATCCAGCAGGTCCAGGATGCCCATCTTGGCCTCGATGAGGTTGATACATGGCTGATTATCATAGAAATCAATGAGAGTCCAGGGGATCTGCTCTTTCATATACTCCTCCTGCTCCAACTTAAACACATGCTGCATGCGAGAAGACAGGAGAAAAGAAGATACATCACAATTTACTATCAGAATTCATAATGATCAACAGTCAAACATGAACTGATGAGATCTGGTGTCATGTGGAGTGGGTCAGATGGTCTCACCATGTTGAACTGTTGCTGTAGTTTCTCATTGGCATAATTAATACAGAACTGTTCAAAACTGTTGATTTCAAAAGTCTCAAACCTGGAATAACAAAACAAAACATCACAATTCACTTCTGTAAATCTAAACTGAAGATCTTTCAGAGGAAATGTAGTCTGTATCTGTGCATATGAACACACCCGTAAATGTCTAGGACTCCAATGAACGAGTGCTGTTTGACCGTAGAATGCAGTGCTTTATTCACATGGTCCACGATCCAGTTGAAGAGTTTGGCATAGATGTGTTTAGCGAGAGCATCGCGGGCATTTATGGCCTGTAGTTTGGGAATGGGCTTAATGTACGTCTCAGTTGCCGTCTTCAGCTTCTTATGACACAGCCAATGAGACATGTCTTGATATGTCACTCCCATCAATTCACAAAACACACTCAGGTGACCATTATTTGGCTGGAGGGAAAAGAGAAAGAGAATTACATCATTGCTACATGTTAAAATTGGAGGCTCTGGGGTATCTGGGTAAAAATGTTCCTGTATGTGTAAAAATGTAATAAATTGTAAAAGTTAAATTCAAGTTTTAAATAAACCACAGTGTTGTTGCAAAAATGTAAACAGTATTATCGCACTATATATAAAGTTGGATATACATTATATCCAATTTCATCTGCATACATACACATAAATCAATATATACTATACAGCAAGTCTGCTTGATTATTTTTTTTTTCATTTGCAAGATCTAACTATGCTATTGACCAGCTCTTTATATATAAAGAGCTTTATGTATATATACATATATATATATATATATATATATACACACACACACGCAAAACTTTAAATATATAATAAAAAATCTAAATATATATACTGTATATATCTAAATAAAAATATATTTAAAAATCTAAATATGAACCAAAATATACTCACTTCAAATATATACACTGTATATATCTAAATACACACGCAAACATTACAAATATATTTAAAAATCTAAATATGTACCAAAATGTAGACTACTCACTTTATATATTTGATCAAACAGAATATAACAGTAATATTGCAAAATATTATTTAAATTTAAATAAACCGTTTTCTATTTCAGTGTGTTTTTTTTAAAATTAAATTTAACTTATTCCTGTCATGGCAATGCTGAATTTTTAGCAACAATCATTTCAGACTTCAGTGTCATTTATTGCCCAGCTCTAATTTGCTAAATGTGACTATAAAGGGCTTTTCACACTGAACGCAAAAATCGGCGCAATGACGCTTTTGAATCGAAACAATAGATCCCTAATGGGGCTATTCACACCAGGCGCGATCATTCGCGGCGCGAAAAAGCGAAGATTTTTTTTTCGTACTGTGTGTCGATTTCTTTCCCCATCGCTCCGCGATGAAACGGGCCGTCCAATCAGATTTGAGCTTAGATCACGTGCCCGGAGCAGCTGCTCTTGCACAAAAGGGTGAGAATGGTGGCGCTGTTTCGAAAACCATTGTAAACAAACACCGAAGAAGAGTATCCAAGCAGGTAGCGTTCAGTCTATTATAAAACATACAAAGAGTGCATGTCTACCTATTATAGAATCAAAATCCATTTTAGATCACAATCGGAAGTTATTACAAGCACTCGATGATGGTTTAAAATGGGGTTTGAGCAAAAACATTAATAGTTACATACGTTTTGAAATGAAGCTTGATGCTATTTGTACCTCTAATTATATTTTCATATGTATTCTTGTAAGCATTATGGATAGTTTGTGTTTCTAATGAAGAACCAAAAGTTATTTATCTTAATTTAATGCTGTATATTGAGCAGCGAACAATGCAAAAGCCATATACGAGATACATAGGCTACATGAGGAAAAAATGAATTGTTGGTTTGCGCCACCTAGCGTGCAGGTGTGAATTAGCAGAAGGCGATCAATCAAGTCGGCTATTCGCCTCACTTTTTGCTACTTATGACTGGTTTTGTGCTCCAGGGTCACACACATATTTGAACTTTAAAGTCAGCATGAAACTCACTGGAATAATACTGCTGTCCGAGTCTCTATCCTTCACTTCCACATTCCCCAGGTGCAAAATTGAAGCCAGAATCTGAAACAAGCCCAGCTGATAGGACTCATTTACACCTGAAGAGACACATCAACAAATTACCAATATGAAAAATCAAGAAACCAGCTCAATTTGTGTTTGTTTATAATCAACATCATTCTGAGCTTGCGTCGCAGTGCATTGTGGACTGTCTAATCCGTGATCAGGGGCTTCATGTACCTAGTTTTTGTGAGTGGGCACCAGTGACAGTTCTAGCACTTCTTCCTAAGTCTTCCTGAGTCTTCTCTGAGTCATGATATTCTAGTAACACTGTTTGTGTTTCATAGGAAAAAAAACCCAACCCCAAATAAAAATAACTATTTGTTATTGTTTATAATAGAACTTTACTTAAGTTTTCACTGTAATAATTACCACAATGTCTTCTGACCCAATTATATACTTATGAATCATGAACAGAAGCAAGAATGTACATGATTAATTTATATTTACTGTCGCTATTCCAGAATATTAAGAATATTAGGCCGATAAGTTCTGCCATACATTTTGTAGCTTATTGAAACACATGAATTTAAGGCATCTGCACTGTACATGCAAGGTTAAAACACCTTATTTCTGCATTTGGAAGCGCATTTTGCGACACAATCTCTAGCACATGTCATTTTCACAAAATGCGTTGTGTTTTGTAAAATTTCTTGTAAAATTTTGGTTCGATTCCTCCAACCACCCACATGCAAAAATGTTTTTGTGTTTTCTTGGAACTTGATTATCAAGTGTAATACGTCTTTTGTCATTTTCATTCAAAATTCATGTGCAGATAATAAAAATACATTTAAAATGAAAATAAACAGATTTTAGACATCTTATCTAGTATTAGAAGTCTAATATTAGATACTGTCATTTAATCTCTATCTAATCTAAACTGGTTATTTTGCACATTAAACTCTCCACTACATGAGAACTCGTTGAACTTTCAGTCTGACCTAGCAGTGTGAAGGCGTTTCTGGTGGTCGACATCTCCTTGGCATCATCTACTCCATCTATCACTGGGTTCCTGCCCTGTTTGGTGTAGTGAAAATCATCAGCCTTTCCTGTGGGAGAACACACACACAAATTTATAACACCACGCAAATACACAACTAGCAGACCTTCTCAAGGATCTATTCCAAGGACAATATGTTCATCAATTAAGCTATAATTGTGCAAGAAACTCCCCAAGCATTAATGAACAGAACTTAGTCATTAGTACTAAGCAAATCTGCATTAATAAAAATGTCTTATTCACAGACAAATCCTAAAATACAAAACCCTGTTCATAGATTAAACGAACGATACACTGTTGCTTGGCAACAGAGACCTTATTGAGATACACACTCACACACAAACCCTCATATTAACGGGGCGTCAGCTGAGCAGGAAGTCAGCTGAGTAGGCAAACAGCAGGAGAGTGCACAGAGCCAGCAGTGTGTGTGTGTGTGTGTGTGTGTGTGTGTATGTGTGTTTCAGAGTAAGTGGGTGAAGCAAACAGAGAAGAGATGATAAGGAGAGGTGTGTGTGGAACTGAACTACAGTAGATATAACCAGCAGCCATATCATCCTGCAGCCCAAGACTGGTTGCCCACTGAAGCTAAGCAGGGTTGAGTCTGGGCAGTACCTGGATGGGAGACCTCCTGGGAAAACTAGGTTGCTGCTGGAAGAGGTGTTAGTGAAGCCAGCAGGGGGTGCTCACCCTGTGGTCTGTGTGGGTCTGAGTGCCCAGAAAAGCGTTATATAAATGTAAGGAATTATTATTAGTAGTAGATAGCTACAGTATTCATATGTGGTCGTGTGTGTATTTAGAACTGCACAGCCCGCCTCTCAGTAGGGCAGCTCTGATAGCCGCTCTCCATGCTGTGCCAACACGAACACACTCTAATCAGACACGTTACCCACAAACACACACGTTTACTAGGACCCTATGAAATTCTGTCTTACTTTTTTCTTTTTTTTTTTTTTTTTCTTTCAGTTTTTTCCATTTTAATTTTTCTGGATTCTATTAAATTAATTTTTTTTAAAAAGCATGTCTAATTAATGGAACCTATACGAATTTAACAGCAATTCCTTAAAAATTAAACAAAAAATTAATTTTTATTTTTAATTTCTCTCCAATTCTGTTTAATTTTTCCCAATTTCCCAAATATTTTATTGTTTTTTTTGTTGTTCTGAATAGTTATGTTATTTTTTCATAAATTGTTTTCATTTTTCTGGATTTATGACTTAATGGCAAAAATTGTGGTAATCAAATAAAGCATAAAACATTCACAATTTAATATGGAATCAAATGAAAATTAACTATTCCTTTTATTTTTTGGCAAACAAAGTGCTGCACACTTTAAAAAATAATAAATTTTTAATAATTGCATTGTTATTATATTATATTATTATATTATAACCATTAGTAAAATTGATCAATAATTAATATTATTATTATTAATAGAAATATTATAGGGATGCACGATATTATCGGACTTATATCGGAATCGGCCGATAATGGCTTTAAATGTAAATACCGGCATCGGCCCGATATGAAAAATTATGACGATATGTCTTACCGATAAGAGGAATATGTTAACTCACATGTGCTCAGGGTGTGCTAGCGATTAGATCACGTCAGCATTGTGGCTCATTCTTGAAGCAAAGTTTTGTCTGAATGATGATTAGTTTGACTGTTTTGGATCGCTGCATTTAAAGGGGTCATATGATGCTATTTTAAAGATCATTATTTTGTGTATTTGGTGTAACAGAATATGTTGACATGCTTTAATGTTCAAAAAACACATTATTTTTCAAATACTGTACATTATTGTAGGTCCTCTATGCCCCGCCTCTCTCAAACGCTTCGTTTTC